TCCTCACCCTGCTCAGGCCTCGTTACGTGCCTATCCGCTCCTAGCCCCAGGAGACAATCATCTTAAACTGATCACTCAACTGCCGACAAAAGAGAGGCTATCTAGGGCAATTGGGGTCAGCTAAGCCGAGAGCTTGACATGATCGCCGACCGCTGCAGTATTTGGAGAGCAAAACCCGTCTGCGCATTTCGACCGAGCCGCTGCAATAGGTCCTCGCCTTGATTCTTCAATATGGAACCCACTTGTCAATGCCGCGTCTCTATATTCTAGGCAGCATCTACTGGTTCCGTCACATCCTCTTCCCCACCAAATGCCAACCGGTCTACCTACCTTGTTTTAGAGTACCGCTGATCCCTAAGGGCCAGAAGTTCTCGGTGAACCTCTGGGCCGAGCTAGAGATCTTTTACCAAAAGCAGTCTGATATCCTTCAAAGCAGTTAACCATATATAAGTCCCCACATCTGATTTAACGTAACTGCAGATAGGGTTCTTAGCAGTATATGTCATTATCACAGACTATAATTCTCAAAACGGAGTATGAGTTCTGTGACTTACACGACCGTCGCTTAGCTGCTGCCAATCACCACGCCCCGATATCCTTCGTCAAGCAATACCGAATTCTGTTTATTCTTCAGGCCGGTAATATGCAGAACGACTAGCTCAGTTTTCGATTTGCGAGCTCAGGGACTAAGCGCTAGGTTAGTTGCTTACTGCTAACACAAAGTCATATGGCCATGTTAATATTAGTATGGCATTGTATATGGCTAGCCTCCCCGTCTCTTTCTAGACACTTTAGCTCCGAAGAGGGCGAGGGTATTTCCGTTGTCGTTATTCGTCTCCCATGACCCTCCAAAAACGAGGTTATTCCGGAGATTACAGCATTGCTTAACCGCCCAAACGAGTATGAGTCTGGCCTTGTATGTACAGCCAGTCAGCCACTACGCCCAAAATGTTCACGGTGTGGCCACACCGTTTCTAGCGAACAAATCACCAATCAGTTTCACTCACCACTTCGAGCTACGACTGTGTACGCATGAAATCCCCACACCATCCTAAGTCCCTGTCAGCAGTCTAGCTCTATGTACCTAATGCATCGTTCTGCATATGGCATCCCGCTATCCTTTCCGCCTGGCTATAGACTACGTCTCATACATGGTATACTTCAGTCAGCTCAATTTCCATCTCTTTCACAGCACCTCGTATTATCACCTAGGTAGCTAGCTACCTAGTACCCATAAATCCGTCTTCTGGCATCCAATCTCTCAAGTTAGATATGCGAAGTATCTTGTTTTTTTTCGCCGGTTACTTGAAGATGCCCTATCTAGTCCTGTCAATACCAAGACTACCGCCATCAAAGCTTTCAATATTGCGGCTATCCTTTAATTTCTAATACTATCGCCGAATTCTCCATTTCTAACAGAGCCCCCCCAACTTCCATCTATCAAATTGCACCGAAGGATCGTCCATTTATTTCCGTTTTCGTATACTTCAACCAAAATGGGTCTATATCCCATGACGCTGTTGTCTTATGCTTAAACATCCTAGACACCCTTTTCTCTCCGCTGCAGTGCAACGAGTTATCCTCGTCTCCCGATTATCCGAACAAGGTTCGGTCCTGCAAGGGTGCAAATCTGATCGACTGTCAAGACCGTCGAGATCCTCTGATCTGCGAGATTCCACTCCTACTTGCATAGCCTAGGGTCCCTGCACCCTCTCGAGCTTGGCCTGGCTATCTCATGATGCACCATCCCCACAGTAGCCCTCCATCAACTAAGCAAATGCAGTATGGATACGATGAGACATACGCAAGCGCTTGCACCTGTAATGCGTGCAGGACGCGTTCTAGTATCCGTCGTCTCCGCTGACAGAGGTACATACCATCGCTCACTAGATAAACCTACTATGTACAGATTGTACAGATTAGTTCTAGGTAAGGCTCTTTCGCCACAGACTGGCAGTGGTCACATCCGATAGTCTCGGTTCTTAGATGTATCGTACGTCCGTTGGTGTTCGGTACCATCCTGATCCTAAGTTAGGTTCCTGGACGACCATGGTGCAACCTAACCCGGTACATAATCAGAGATATTCGCCCGTCTGCTAGATCCATGTTTTTCCACAAGAGTCCCTCATACGGGGCACGCAAAAGCAACAAACCCAGCAGTAGGAAAGTCATATATAAAGCTGCATGTCGACATGACGTGCAGGTTCTATCAAGGATGATGCGTCCGCGGGAGGAAGGTGGGCAATATGAGTCTCGTATGAGAAAAGGCGGATTCGTCCAACCCAGCGGCAACGTTGAAGCCTGACCTGCCTATTTAGAGACCAATTGGAAGATCACTCTGAGAAGTATAATAAACGCGAGGGGCCCCGAGAACTATGAGAGACATATGACAGCATAGAATGTGGTGATATCGCCGTCCTTAGACGCCGGTTATGTGCAAGAGGGATGTCACCATCGATATAAGCAGGCCTTGTGTTATATAAGACTGAGTTACACGTTAAGTTGGATATAACGGAAACAAAAGGTCTTAGAATCAGGCGATAGACCATCCAGCTTTGAGTGGGATATAATAGATCTATCCAATGGAAGCTCTTGACATTAGCATGCAACTATTCGCTTTTGTCACATATATTGTTAACAGTATACACAAAGAGAAGTGTGGGTGTCCACATTCATCAACAGCTTTCGAAGCTCGTTAGATTTCGGCTTTGAACGTGCTCGAGTTACTCGGCTATAGAGTAAGTATAGGTATGAGCTCTCTGTTCTAACTCCAAGCCTTCGTAGATTCTCTTGTTGACCAAGTATCAAAACATTAGGAACCCTAGTTCCGGGCTAGGTATACTATTCCATCTACGACGGTAATTCACTTATGATCATGTAGTTCCATATGTAGAGATTCTTGGAGCGGAAAGGGTTATGTAGAAAAAAAAGCAGATTATACTCAACACAGCATGATATGTACCTAACCTATATATAAGACCGGCATATGTATGTACATACATGAGGCAAGCCCCCTGCCCCTCCCCGGTATATATGTATGTATGTACGTACGGGTCGTGCGTGTGTGCCCGGGGTACATACATGCATACACAACCCATCCACACCCACGACCCACGACCCCCCCATGGGATATGCGCCCCGTCGTCGCGTCCACGGGGGACCATGTGATCGAATTCGGGGTGCGGGAGTATTAGTCACTTGGCTGCCGCGTGACGGCTGCCTAGTTACAGTGTCTATTTGTATGTGTGGATGTATGTGTGGATGTATACGTATCGTAGTGGGTATGCAGTCGACATGTTCCGGCCGTTTGTTTGCCTTGACTTCCTCGTTCTTTTGAGGGATGGGGGGCTGTATCACGCTTGCACGCTCGAAGAGGGCGGCAGTCTGACGCCTTGTTTCTACTTAGGGCTGTGGCGCTGGAATTCGCCACCGTGGGCAGACGGATTGCGTATCTTGTCGTGTTTGTTTAGTCTGCTTGTTTGGGGCGACTTCTACCTACATACCTAGGTACCTACATAATTATGAGGGGAGTTGAGGGGAGGTAGGTAGGTATGTAGGCTGATGCATTCGTTGATGGGGGTCACGATCATCTGCTTGATGGAGGTAGGTAGCTACATATGTCATCATGACGGTAGTTGGGTCTAATACATAGTTGAGGGAGGTGATGCTTCGGATTAGCCGGTTGCTCAGCCTTGTTGGAAGCCTGGATTGCCTTCGCTGTTTTGGACGGCGACGTGACCGGGCCAATACGAGTTACCTTTTTTTTAAATCCTCTTTTCCCCTTAGATTGATATTCAACTATGTGATGTACTGATCTCATAGGAGACTTTTCTATACGTTAGTTAGTAATTCATAGCTTCTAGCTGTTTTGAAGTAATCTATGATAAGGTACTCTATAAAAACGAACGTTGAATTGAAATCATAATTAATAACTTGAAATCCATCGTAGGGCACGTATATGACCTTACTACGGCTTTATAGAATTTATATTCATGTTTAAATTTGACCATAGCTGTTAAAACTACACCATATGTCTTGACAAGAGGCTATCCTAGGGATGTGTAAGTTAGAACTTTTATTTAACCCTCTTGCTTGTGAAGCATTCTATGTTAAGTATGGTTAGGACATGTTTAGCTCAATGGGATATTATATTTTAAGCAGTTAGTTACGAAAGTCTTACTATATAAACACACACACGCATACCTCTTAATATGAACCTATTGTAGTTTTTCATTTCCTGATAACTCAAATGTGTTTCTATAAGGAGCTCAAGTATCTTACTATCAGTTAGTTATTTGAAACCGCGACGACTGATAAACATAAACAGAAAATAATTTCTCTTGGAATATTTATACGTGAAATCTTCGAAGAGGTTTTAGGGGTCACCTATGAAATCTATCTAATATTAGATTACCTATCACGAGATCCTCACTGCTACCTGGACAGGAAATGCTCTACGAAACAAATTAATATAATACATTCTCTTGAGACCTGGAGTAAGTATAGTCTAGCAACCTTTCTATTAAAATATCTATTTAATCTCCACCCCAGTATTTGTCTCTAAGCCGATAACTAGACTTTTGCAGTTTTGAGTTTAATGTGGTAGATAACCAGAATATTTGCTCATGATCCCAAGTGGAACGGGACCGGAAGCCCAACAAAAACATTCTCTTTAAGAGTAGGCGGCCTATTGTAATTTGATTAGCAAACAAAGGCGAAGGGAGGGACAAACCACATCATCATCCTCCGGTCTTCTTGTAGTTGAAAATACCCCTTTTAATCCACACTACTTTCCGTAGTTTGAGTTTGTTTGCAAGCTATTACTAGAGAATAGATGTCTGTGCCCTGGCGTAATACCTATTCGAGGTTCATAGAGCGGGTTGGTTGGGAATACGCATATTGTACTCCTCTACTATTATTTATGATGGTGGTGTTGGAAACCGTAGGTATTATAAGAGAAAATTGACTAATGAAATCACGCTTCCTCAGTAAGATAGGTATACGGTGCCACCATTTGACGAGGTATTTAATAACTAATATGGCATCTATCTGATACTAGATCGAAGTAGGTATGCTGTTATGTAAGGAAGCCTTGTATCGGGGCTTGTCAAGCAAGATAGAATGGTAAAAGTGCCACGATTTCAAACACCAAGCCTAGCCCGTACTCTATCCTTTACCACGGGCGAATCCTAAAAGAATCTAGCAAGTCAACTAGAAATAGTTAGTACTTGGAACATTATACAATATTTGCGCCGAGGGGCGACTTACAGGCTCGGGGCCGGGGACGGTGTACTCGTGGAAGTTGGAGTAGATCTAACGAACTATTAGCATATCCGCTCATCGCCGCAGAAGCATTGGCATCAAGAAACTCACGTTGGCGGTGTAACCAGGGTCGGTCTCCTTGAATGCGCCGGGGATCTGTACGGTCGTGGGGTTGTAGCTGCCACTGCCGCCGGACACCTTGACCTGGGCGCAGGAGATGTAGAACTGAGGAATACCAGACGGGTACGGGTTGTGGATCGCGAGGCTCTGGATTCGCAAGAGATACTCGCCGTCCTCGATACACGATGGGATAGTGTACGAGTATGAGCCTACATAGGTAGGTACACAACATCGTTAGCTTGCGCTTTCGCAACACGTGTGTGTCCCTTATAATGGGAAACTGTGCTTACCGGACATATCCCACTTAGCTTCGCCACTCGAGAAGTCGGGAGCTACGGATGGGAGTTAGTAATTGAAGTACCACCTAAGGGCTTAAGCACTCGAGGCGGCTCACCGAAGTCCTTGATCTTGAACCATTCGCCACTGCCGTCGTATTCCGAGGCAGCTCCTGGGGCCTTCGACATGTAGCTAGCGATCTGTCAGTATAGCCGCCAGAATATAAAGCACATCGATTATTCCGTACATGGAGATCGGCCCTTGGTGGTACACGGGCTAGCGACGAAGTCAGTTGTTATACTATGTAAGCAAATGAGGCGTATCTGGAATGGGCTACGTACGGTATCAAGTGTGAAGGTGAATGCTTCACCGGCCTTCACGTCTACCGTCTTAGTATCGGCACCCTGAGCACCGACATTGCACCTCAGGTCGTTCGAAGCCAAATCTATAGGTAACGATTAGCGTAAGCCGGGGAAAGAATAAGGGAAATAGTGTGCAAATCTTACCTGTAACGGGGGAGTTGTAGTTGCTGTTTTGTCGGACTAGGTATTCAACATATCAGTCTTTGCTCCTATTTCTAACTACCTAAGCTAGACGGCAAGGTAATAAATAAAAGAGTCCTCTTCGTGAGACGTACTGTACTCGAAGGGGGCGTATTGAGTGGCATCGAGCGAGAGCTGCTGGAAGATGTAATGGGCGGAGGCGCTGCTGGCTGCGAGCGCAGCTACGGCGGCAATGTTGGCGAAGTTCTTCATGGTGGTCAAGGGGAGGTAGGTAGGTAGCTATGAAGTCTAAGTTTGACTGACCGTGACAATGATGGCGCAGTGCTCAGCTGTTTCACAACATTTCCCAGACGGCAAAGGAGGCACTTTATATAGATTATCAAATACCGGTGTCCCGGGATCGCGGCATCAGTGATGTCACCGCCCAGATGCCAATATCATCGTTTGTAAGCGACTGGATTGTCATTCTGTCCTATTTTCTAACTATTGGATGGGAGGAATCGTAATCGTGTTCCTCTAACCCGACGTTCCAGAGGTAGCTTCTCGAGCGGACCGTCGTTCCATCGTCGGCGATCATCATTGCGACAAAGAAGGCCCGCTACATGGGGGAAGCACACAAGTTCTCCGGTACGCGAGAGCGCGCGGCGTGGCTTCATGGGGTCGTCGTGGGGTGTTACTGTGGAGAAAAGCAGGCCGTGAGGTGTCCGAAAGGGGGAATACCGGAAGGACGTTGGGAGTTCTACCTATTTGGCAGGTCGATACAACAACATATTTCTATTTAATATAAACATGTAATGCTAATAAATGCTAACTACCGCAACCCACCTTGCCGGGTACGCTAATAGGAGAGAACCTTGAAGACGGCGGTCCTGTGTGTGTTCATCACAACTAGAAATGGCTAAGTTATACCTATACCCTGTTCCTTACGGTAGCTTTCCGGTTTAAAGACGCGATTGGGAAATAGTAGCTGGGAACAAGATGTGTTTCGCGTAGCGGAATGATCCAACGCCTGGAAACCATTAGTTAATTAAGAGGTGATTCTATTTTAGTCACTTCATGCAGATAGGTATATCGACTGAATATTTATGCTACAGCCAATGACAAAAATTAAAAAAATACCCAACTCCATCACCGCAGGCTCAGTTCCCGGACGATAAATTCGGACCGAACAGTCATCAACTCTTATATCACGTTATGCGTGGTAGTTTCAAAGAACGACTTGATAAGCCGCTCGGGTGAAATTCATTCCTCAAACACATCTCCCTCCATCTACCTCGATGTTGACCCCGGTGATAAAGGCGGCTTCGTCGCTGGCCAGGTAACAGCAAGCGTTAGCGACGTCCTCCGGAGTCGAGCCCCTGCCTAGCGGCACCACAGACTCGAACGCCTTGCGGTTCTCGGCCGTGTTGGGCTTGCCGATGAATAGGTGCGTCATCCCCGTGCTTCCTACGACCGGAGAGACCGCGTTGAACCGCATCTGCTGAGGCCCGTACTCGACTGCCATCGTCTATCGTATACCATATATCACGGTTAGTATTCGCGATTTAGAAAAACCGTGCTGTGCTGTACTATGCCGGGTCACAGGAAAAGGGATGGTGGCGGCGGTTGAGCGCTCATACCTTTGTGGCATTGATTACAGCCGCTTTCGACGCGTTATACCAGGTAAGCCTCGGGCGCGGTCGAACACCTGCGGTAGAGGCGACCTGAATAAAGCCCCCCGGCCTCTTCTCTTCGAGGAAGTAGGGCACGATAACGCTAGTAGAGATATACACAGACTTGACATTAACGTTCATGACGAGGTCGAAGTCTTGATCCGTTACCTCCTCGGTCGGCTTGTTGGCGTACGTCGCTCCGGCGTTGTTCACCACGACGTCAAGCTGGCCGAAGGCATCCAGAGCCGTCTGAAGGAGACGTTCCCAGTCCTCGCGCTTCGTCACGTCGGCTGCTGCGAAGGTACATCCGAGCTCCTGGGCTGCCGCGCGACCGGCTTCCTCCGAGAGGTCGGCGATGATGATCCGAGCCCCTTCTTCCGCGAATTTAGCTGCGATGCCCCTGCCGAACCCCGACGCGCCTCCCGTCACGATTGCGACCTTGCCTTCTAGACGGGGTCGAGGAGCCATGGTTGTGATTGCTGCAGAGAGAGAGAGAGTCTCGTTGAAATTTGTCGATTTATGTTATGTTAAGTCGAACCCTCGAGTGGACGTTCATGACCAGCTGCCGAATTCATACCCTCATATTATGCTGTGCGCCTGTAAGATGGCGGCGAATAGCGTGCGGGGAACTTGGGGAATTCCATCGGACTATCGTGAAACGTCGGGAGTCATTAATGAACATCCCCTCAGATCCCCCTCACTTAGACATGAGTTATTCGTGTAGGTATGTTTTATATTTTGTATAATTATAATCATTGATATATTATGAGATGTTGTAATGAAAATGGATCATGTTGCAATTATTTACATACATCTGATAACTACTTATCTAACAGATACGTACATTACAGTATAGTTATATTCATAATTATACTATGTAACGTGAAGAAGATAACTGAGAAGATAAAGAGAGATCTTGCTAGCTGAGATGAGGAGTGAGGCCGTACGCGATGCCCCATCAAGCTTAGTGGGCGGGTAATTAAATATTCAGCTCTGGGGAATACTGCTGATAAGTCTACCTAAGCTAGGATGGTCGAGTTGCCGTATCCTTGTATTTAATATGTAAAAAGGATCCAGTTCAAAAGATAAGAACTTGATGTTATCAGCATCTCGACAGGGGGCCTCGTACAGTACACTAAGATGTTCAATGTTATTTAGTGGGTCTCAGGCATTAAGGCATCAACATTTCTTGATATGGCTAGTATGTAACCTCTCATATAAATTACTACTGTAAAATATATAACTTAAAAATAGCCTTATATTTGATATAATCTAATTTTTTAATTGTTTCCCCCCAGAGTTACGGCATTTGAAAGCCCTATTATATATTAAAGTCTTTAGGAACAGCCTCCAAAACAGCCTTAATAGCCTGTTTTAATTCCCGTAACGTTAACGACTATAAATCGTAATTACTATCTAACCAATCTTTCACCTAAGCCCACACGTTTTCAATTAGGGCTGTCCGGGGGCCATTCAATCGTCAAGGCATTCCAAGGTTCCTTTAGCTGTGTGGGAGAAGGCGTTATCGTGTTGAAATACCGTACGTACGGGGAGGCTATTCAAGAATCGCTTAACGAGAGGTAATATATTGAAAAAAGGGCTTTCGGCAGAGTCGTTGTTTTTATACCTCCTCATAGTAATTTATATGTGGGAATACATACTAGCCGTATTCAAAAGATGTTGATGCCTGGCGGCTTGGCGCCCCACTAATAACATTGAACATCCTAGTGGGTTGTATGTATATACTACATAGTACGGAATATGTACTAGGTAACAAACTCACAAGCTCATCTACCATTATCATTCTTATTCCTACCATCATCATCATTGTTTATGCCTTATTATTCATGTTTTGTCATTTATAAATAACGACATTATCGACGATGGGGAGGCAATCCGTCACCAGCGCGGGTCCGCGTAGGTCCGTCGAGGTGACAGCAGCAGCAGACGACGCACTCGCCAAGATGGGATACAAGGCCGAGTTGCCTCGAAGTCTGAGTATGCTTTCGGTGCTTGGCTTATCCTTTGCTATTGGTATGAAAACAAGACAATAACAAATAACCTCATTCTAGTATAGTTATATGAATACTAATTAGTCGATAGTATGTAACTAGTATTATAAGTATTTATTTCCAACAGAACTCTGTCTATAACAGCATCCTATTCCGATGACATCTCGTGACTCATATATATATCAATAGTCATTATATATAACTACCTACCTTACCTACCTAGACAGCTTCTAGATAGCTTCACGCAACGTTACTAACGCATAACACAACAGATGGCCGTCCCATACGGCCTCAGTACTACATTCTACATATCGCTAGCAAACGGACAATCAGTCACCGTCATCTGGGGCTGGGTCCTGCTCTCTCTCCTTTCGACCGCCATCGCCGCTTCGCTCGCCGAGATCTGTTCCGTGTATCCCACCGCGGGCGGCGTTTACTACTGGGCCGCGCTGCTATCGACGCCGCGCTGGGCCCCGATCTCCAGCTGGATCACCGGCTGGCTGACGCTGGTGGGCAACTGGACCGTGACCCTGTCCATCAACTTCGGCGGCGCGCAGTTGATTCTCAGCGCCGTCTCGCTGTGGGACGAGGACTTCGTCGCCAACGAGTGGCAGACCATCCTTATGTTCTGGGCCGTCATGCTCGCGTGTTACTTGATTAACGTCTTCGGCTCCAAGTATCTGGATCTTATCAACACCCTCTGTATATACTGGACCGCCGCCTCCATCGTTATTATACTCGTCGTTCTCCTGGCTATGTCCCCGAGCAAGAGGAGCGGCGAGTTCGTGTTTGCGCACTATGATGCCTCGGCCTCGGGCTGGCCGGCCGGCTGGTCGTTCTTCGTCGGTCTGTTGCAGCCCGCGTACGTGCTGACGGGCTACGGCATGGTCGCAGCTATGTGCGAGGAAGTACAGGCGCCCGAGCGCGAGGTTCCCAAGGCTATCGTCTGTGAGTCATCTATAATTTTATAGACGCTTTCCTTTGCCGTGTGGGACACTCCCTTTATGAGCGAATATACATCCTTATAACTAACCCTCTTTGAATTATAATGACTAACTCGGAATACTATAGTATCAGTCGTGGCGGCCGGTATTACAGGTCTTATCTATCTAATTCCGGTCCTTTTCGTGCTACCGGAAGTCCAAACGCTCCTTGACGTGGCGAACGGTCAGCCAGTTGGTCTCATATTCAAGACGGCGACGGGAAGTGCCGGGGGTGGCTTCGGATTGCTATTCCTTATCCTGGGTATTTGGTTATTCGCCGGTGTCGGTGCGCTGACGGCTTCGAGTCGCTGTACTTACGCTTTTGCACGCGACGGTGCCATCCCCGGCTCTGGCCTCTGGAGTAAAGTCGATAAGCGGTTCGATATCCCGCTGTGGGCTCTCACTCTATCGGCAATTGTAGATTGCTTATTGGGCCTCATTTACTTCGGTTCGTCGGCAGCATTCAGCAGCTTCACGGGAGTCGCTACGATATGTCTCTCGACGTCGTACGGGCTGCCAATTTTAGTCTCCGTTATGCGCGGTCGTAAGCAGCTAGAACATGCTTCATTCTCACTTGGTCGTTTTGGGTTTGTTATCAATGTGACGACGCTGTTATGGATTATCCTTGCCATCTTCTTGTTCTGCATGCCGACTAATCTCACCGGGCTGGACGCTTCCACCATGAATTATGCCAGTGTGGTATTTGCGGGTTTCGCTGCCATCAGCATCATCTGGTATTTTGCATGGGGCCGCAAACATTTCTCTGGGCCCCCGATCTTGAAGTCTGAAATGGTTGATCATGGTGTAGGGGTTGTTAGGGGACAATCTCTAGACGAGGAGGTGGGGGCGAAGGAAGTAAGCGCGAAAGAAGAGTCTGATTCGAAGGTTGTATGATATTTGATAGGCCTCGCTTAGCTACCTAAAGTTGATGAATCAAAATGTACACAGTGTTACTGTTTCTGTGCCAATGGTCTAGATATTTAGGGGTTGGCGTGAATAACCCCTTTTTGCTATAGAGCCAAGCCTACCTATACCTAAATAAAATCACATCGACGCAGAACGGTACAAGATAGACGATGCAGTAACTCAAGCAAATGTCGCCTCTCTTCGTAAATCGTTAATCTACGTACCAAGTCCCTTTATAGCCCGCAATCTTGAAATTTGACGTATATCAACATCCCACCGCATCAACACGAGGGACCCTGAGCTAGCTAGGTATTGACCTAACCTTAGGTAGTTATCTGTCCTATAAAGCTCTGGTACTAACGTGGGTGACTTCGAAGCCCTTCAGGCCCTCCGCGGCGCCCTGGAACTCGCCAATTATGCTCTTCCAAGCACCTGTCTCGCGCGCCTCCGAATGGGCTTGGACGCTCTCCCAGCCCAGGATGATAACGAGCACGCGGGTCTTCTCGCCCTTGAAGTCGACGTCCTTCTCGACCGTCCAGCCGAGAGAGGACTCGCCCGTCAAGCCCGCGAAGCTTGCGCCAGCTAGCTTGGAGACGAACCTTTGCGCCTCGGTAAGCGTCTTGGCCGCGTCGGTGTCGGGCGCGAAGTAGGCGAATATGAGCTGGGCGGCGGGAGATTTGCCCTTGCCCTCGGCGTTGTCCAGCACGGTGGGCGGGAACGGAGTCAGCTCTGCGTGGACTACGGTAGCGAGTTTGGTGACGTGTGGCTTGACCTGGTCGATGAAGGCGCTGTAAGCTTCCGTTTGGGCCTGGAGGGCTTGGTGCGACTCGATGCTGTCCCAGTCGATAAAAAGGTCGACCTGCTCGGGGTTCTCGTGCACGGTGGAAACACGCACGGCTTGGGCGCCCGGTTGCCCCTTGATAACCGCGAAGAGGTTGTAGAAAGTGTCCACGTCCGTACCTGGCTTGAGGCTGTGGATGACGATTTCGGTGACGGGAGCCATGGTTTACGGATTCTAGTCTGTTGGTGTTGGCCGGTTACTGGTATGGGTGGCTAAGTACCTATGATATAGCATTTGGCGGGGAAATAATGAGGATATTTATACAGCTGCTTTCTTGGCTCCTGTAGGCATAACGACGCTAGCCTTTATGTCTATGTCTATCCTATGTGGATCGTCGACATGCTAGTGGCTCTTCGACGGGGTATCGAAGGGCCACGATTGAACGCACATTACGCCTTGCAGCTGTATTAGGTAGGTGATTTGGTTGATGGATTCGATGATGATTATGTCAGAGAAGTTGTGTAGCATTAGGAATTTTTCCTGTAGCTAGGCATCTTACCATCACTTCCAGGAAGAATCCAATGTATTATTCTTTATCCCGAGTCTCTTGGTGATGATTCGGTGCGGGATACGAGGTTCACCCGCTGTATAGTATTTAGCTCTGAAGAAGGGATTCTGATAGGTCGGGCCGGAACCAGCAACAGTAAGACCAGGGATCATGTTCCTTCGAAAAGGGGGATAGGATGGCGGAATCAATGCGTAAATTGACATCTTTAACAACCTTTGAATATAGGACAACCGATATTCCTCGGCGTCCTCAAGTCTCTAGACTAGGCGCTAGGTGGGAAAAGGCGGTCAACCTGCTTGAACTTGGATAACTGCTTTTATAGCGTGGTATTTCGTGAGCTAAAGAGAGGAATCCGTATAAGCGACTAGGAATGAAATACCTCGCGTACGAGCAGAGGCATATCCTCCCAAGTATAACTACCTAGGTAGGTAGGTAGTAGTTCAATTATATTTCATCCAGCTCATACGATACCATATCACTAACAGTATTCCCAGACATCACGTCGAAATATTGCAATCTAGGCGCAATCTTCTTTAGAAGTCGAGCAATGTTAGCTGCCTCTCTGGCTATCGCATCGTCCGTGAGAGGTAGCGGCGCTAGCTGCCCGAGCTCGAGCGATAATAACTGGGGAAACAAGACATCACTAGATACTAGGTTTAGAAGACTGTAGGTCCCGTTGAGCTCGAGCTCCTCTAGCCTCGTCCCGCCGTACTTGGCAGCCTCTGCCAATGAAGATTCCGTGAGGTAGCATGTGAATCTCAGATGCAGGACCTTGAGGCGCGGCTGGGCTTGTATTATACTGGCAAATTGAGGATCCCCGAATTCTGGAGCTTCGACTCCATTGCCAGAAATGCTGAGCTCCTCTAACTTGCTAAGCCTCTGCGCTAGCTTGGCAAGACCATCTGAGGGGATATGAATATGCTGACCTTCTATAGCTCTGTATTCCAACTTTAAAGTATGTAGATGAATACATTGCGAGGCGATGTTGTGGATTACGCGGTCCTGTATCGTGGCCAAAGGAAAACCTTCATATACAATATTCGCTTCTAGGCGAGTAAGCTTGGATAGATACGGCAGTATGCTCGTGAGTCCGCCAGGCTCCGCAACGCAGATGAATTCACGAAATTCTGGAAGCAGCTTCTCCTCAGCATCGTTCCGGGATCGTTCCGCGACAATTCTTAAGGCGAGTTCTGTAGTGATGAGCTCCTGGAACTCTAAAATTTCAAGGCCGGGCTTCGTAGCGAGAGCAATAATGACCGAGTCATTTATGGCTCGGCTCATCCCGTACATAACTGATATTCGCTTCAGAGCTTTGGCGCCATCGAGGAATCGGAGGAAACCCTCAGGGGAAATGAGGTCCCGCGGGTTGTCGATGAGTAGTTCTTCTAAGAGCGGACAAGAAGCCTGTAGCTTGTCCAGGAAGGAATCCGAGATAGGCCCCCCGTAGAAAATAAAGCGCTTTAGCTTAGGTTGAAGATACTGTTCTAGATGTGCGCCTTCATTGTAATCCGAGGCATCTAGCCAGAGATTTTCGAGGTTGGGGAATTTTAAGTCCTTGAATAATTTATGATGAGAGGCATCATCAGCGAAAAACTCCAGAGATACAATTTTGTTGGCATGAGCTTGTAAGTTCTGGGGCTCGCTTTGTGCGATTTCTGCCAGGGCGGAGATGGAAGGGTTTTCGTCTGACATTATGATAAGAAGCTGGTATGGTATAGAAATAAAAATAAAAATTGTGTAATTGTGTAATTGGTATCGTGGGTGATTGATTAATTCAACCTTAGGGACGATAGACTTTGAAAAAAGTGGATATACTGTAATCTTGTGATTCCCTAGATTAGTGATGACATCGTTGTTGTATTAGTTATTTAGGTTTTAGTAGGATCTAGCTATGTATTGTTCATATATGCGTAGATGTAGGTAGTGAATGTAGGCAGTGACTGCCTCATTGTAATGAGTGCCTGAGTCACTGTTGCTAGAATCCACAATCCGTACTCAGGGGGTTTGATCATACATACTGTCTACCAGTCTACCTAGTGGATTGTACCTTGGCTATGCCTCTAACGAAAACTCAACCCCCCCTATACTTATCATTCCTACGTAATACATTCATCATTGTACCATATCTTGATTCGAACTACATATGTACCCGTCCTCTGTAAATCTAATATGTAGTCAGGCTATTTCTAGCATCTAAATAATTCTATGTCTTAAGCTAGGTTAGGTATGTAGTTAAACGGACATCTTCATCGGGATAGTCTTGTGAGGCTCGTAATTTAGAACCGAGATATCCTCCACTTTCCACCCATCGATCGAGCCACCACCGTCGCGTTTGATCTGTAGCTCTGGGAACGGCCGTGGCTCGCGCTCTAGCTGCACTTTCAACGCGTCGACGTGGTCGATGTACACGTGTGCGTCGCCCATAACGTGTGTTAGACTACCGGGGACTAGATCGCAGACATGTGCCAGCATATGCGTCAGCAGCGCGTAGCTCGCAATGTTGAAAGGGACACCGAGTCCCATGTCGCAGGACCGCTGGTACAATTGGCAGTGAAGATGACCTTTCGGCTTCTCTTCTCCGTTGCTCTCCTCGTCCCTATTCTGTCTCGGAAACGAAACGTAGAACTGCGCGAACATGTGACACGGAGGCAACACCATTTTCTTTAGATCGGCCGGGTTCCAGGCGGAGAGAATCATGCGGCGGTCGTAGGGATTATTGCGCAATTTATGGATGACGTCGGCTAGTTGGTCGACGCCCTGGCCGGTGTAGTCTGTGCGCGCATCGACGTACTCAGCGCCGAAATGGCGCCATTGGAAACCGTAGACGGGGCCGAGATCACCAACTTCACGATCCTTAAGTCCCAGGTTGTCGAGGAATTCGCGTGACCCGTTGCCATCCCATATCTTGACGTCTTGCGCGCTGAGAGATGTCGACGATGTATTTCCCTCGATAAACCATAGAAGTTCGGCGATTACAGCACGCAGGAACACGCGCTTCGTCGTTAATAGCGGTAGAATCGGCTTGCCGTTATCGTTGAGGCTGAACTTGAGCGGTTGGGGGGCGAAGATGGAGTATGTCCCGGTACCGGTTCTACAAGGAGAGTTGAGTTTTAGAAACTTGCTTCTAGATTGGGAGCCCTTTTGCTATACTGAGCAGGCAGTAAATAAGGGGGATAAAACTGTAGCTTACCGATCTGGTCGACGCTCTCCGTGATCTAAGATGTCCTGAACGAGATCGAGGTATTGGTACTCCTCGTGCCGTGGTGAGGATGTCATCGTGTGGAATAATATAGAATATTACGTTTGTAGCCTCTCTAAGATCGGATTAGACCAATTGGCAAGTGGATCGCCCGAAGGGGGAGTTTAAGGATTCGTGACAGACAACGTAAAAATGAAGAGAATATTTAGTAGTGACGCGACGGGGAACGCGTCTTGTTTAATAGGGTACTTAACACTCGATGGGGCACTTAGAGGCTACATATGTACCTATCTATCGATAAGCATCTCCTAGCGCGGGGTCATAGTGGGATGTTCTAGAGGTACATATTGTATTGTACAAGGTACATAGGTACCTATTTAGGGGCTATTAAGGGGTTGTACGAAATACACATACTGTTATATACATCTTAACCACCATCCGAACTCTACATTTCTGCTATAACTAGGTATGATTATGATTATGAATATCTTCCATTCTCCTATTATAGCGTATCTTAAGCGTCCGCCAACGTTTTCTTACCCCTGAAGAAACTGCTAAGCTTTCCCATCATCTGTCCCAATCCCCCGTTTTCGCTCCCCTCGACCAAGCCACCGCGGATCCATCCAGGTAACTTAGTCTTAATACGGTCGGCTGCAAACCGCCGGTCGACTAGCACAATGGCAGCGTAGTCGTTTCGGTGACGAATAGCGCGTCCGATGCTCTGATTCACGGCGCGCATACATGCGTTCTCGTAGAAATCGCGAGCCGCCTGCTTTGCTGCCGCAAGAGCCTCGCCTTTGGGCATGGATGGACTAGTGGCCTTTATGCGCTCCAATGTGGTCGACTCGATATACTCGATTCGGGCTTTCCAGTCCGGCGAATGGATATTCGGATATGGCAACCCGACCACCACCACGCAACGACCTAGTCGGTCAGAAAAGTTGATACCTTCACTCATCTTTCCGCCAACCACACTTAACAGTAAGGCTCCATTTCTATTAAGTGGAGGGCCGGATTTGCTCTCGCCCAGGATCGCCTCGCTATACTGTGCTAGCACCTCGTCGCTTGATCCTCCCTTGGTCTCGCGGAACACGGCTTTCTTGGCTTGCAGTTTCTCCCATAGCGGTTTAGGCTGGCCAGTACTGGCTTCGCTCCATACAGATACCACTTCGTCAAGATATCCGTAGCTAGGGAAAAAAATAACAACACCATCCGGAACAGCCGTACAGATGTTGAGGATCGCAATTCCTAGCTCGTAGATCATCGACTTGTCACTACGCTTCTGAAAACTGAACTCGAACTCCACGCTCCTAGGATCGGTCTTTGGTCTCGGAGATGACAATGTCCAAACGCAAAGATTTGATGGTGGAATCACGTGGCCGCAGCTGAGAGTCGTGATTTTATTTTGTGCCAAGTCCGGGAAAAGATGTGCCGTGTAATCCTCGAATGGTGACATGGTGCCGCCGGCGAGAATGACTGCTCGTGCACTTGATGCTATGGAAGAGAATGCGTGTGTGGGTGAAAGAAGGAGGTAAGAGAGCTTGATATCGTCTTGGGAAACTCTGTGGTAGAAAATACGACCTTCGGAGCTCAAGTTGTTCAAAGAGACAAGAAATGAGAGGAGAGCATGAAGAACAGGCGTTGATCGTATTGCGGATGGAACATCTCCTGCATCCTGAGACTCGGCTTGCGCAACATATCCTTCGATTTTATATGCGAGTTTTGAGTCTTGTATGTATTGAATGAGTTTATACATATTAATCTGATCGATGCCCTTGGACCTCAAAAGGGCGTTAGGGTCGACTATTCCTTGGTCGCTCTAGGATTATACATGTTAGTACTACTTTAACTAATTGAAGAACTTATAAATAATGAGAAGTTCGTGCCTTACCTTCAGTTCCGATGCGCTTTCTAGCCATGTCTTTAGACCATCCACAACCTTGGCGACTTGCGCAACCATGACTCGGTTTTCACCCTTAAGCTTCTTTCCAAATTTCTTAACATATACCCCAAGCATTTGCCTGGCTCGCTTTAGTTCGTTCAGGCTAATCTCGGAGGCGTACACGTTAGCTACCGCATCCATGATGTTATGAGCTTCGTCGACGATGACCACGTTGCCCTCCAGTTTGATACCAAGGGCATCCCTAGCGGTCTTTTGCAAAAGTAAAGGGTAGGGTAGAGTAATGATCTCTGCACTAGGCACTGCTGTTCTTGAGGCGTAGTACGGACACACGTGTAACTTCTTTCCGAGCTCGAAGAGATCCTCAATATCCGGGAGAGTAGCAAGGGCGCTGTCTCGAAACTGATGTGTTAAACTTAGGTTATCCGCATTCGGTACGAATTGGCACCTGTCCTTTGACTTCGGCTGCTGAAGCTCGGTGCAGCGATCGTTGATCGCTGGGAGGGAGCCGAGGCGAGAGACCGACGGATTGATGCAGAGTCGTTGGCGGGAAGATAGCGGGAGGTGTTTGATGCCCTCTGATTCGATGCTTGAGTTATCACCAAGAAGAGAATCTGGTAATGACGCTGGAAATTTTGGTCGGCGTAGTTCCGAAATGAATTGTGTCAACTGCGAATGCGTTCTCGACGTATAATAGATCTACGATGAATTAGCTTAAGCCGTCAGAAGTACCCATGAGCTGACGCACCTTAATCTCGTTTTCACTTATCTCTTCGCCCTCTTCTTTGGTTTGAAGGCTTCCTAGGCCTAGCTTGCTCATGAGGTTCCGCGTCTCCTTGCTGAATCCTGACGGGTTATCGCTGTCCTGGGATGTATCTTCGTCGTGGCCTTCATCTAACAGCCACTCATCGTCCTCATCGTCGTCGCCAGTTTTCTTACTCTTTCTAGCGCTACCATCTTCCAGTCTCCTTCGCTTAGATCCTCTCTCTTCTGTCACTTTTTCCTTGGCTCGTATTTTCCTCAACCGTGCTTCTCTTTCTTCCCATTGCTTAAGTATCTCTTCTCTCTTCCGTTTTAGCATTTGGTCGACAATCCAATCCGGCTCATCCTTAAACTCCTGGGCAGCCTCAGTAACTGATGTCTCAAACTTCGATCTCTTGTGGTTTCGTAACCAAGTGAGAGCAGCGCATATGAGCGAGAGAGATTTTCCCTGAAGATGTTAGCGCGGAGAAGCCTCGAATCTAAGCATCAACGTACGGTGCCAGTTGGGCTCTCAAGAATACCAATTTGCCCTTCTCCTTTCTGTAAGACCTCATATGCAGTGTTCATGAATTGCTCTTGTACGTCATATGGAGTGTATGGGTGATGGAAGTCGATTCCCTCGACTCCTCCTATTATCTCTTCCATATTGGAGGTTGACTGGGCGACTAGCTGACCCCGAATAGCACGAATCACTTCGTGCAACTCTTCTGGCTAGGGCGAGTTCTCAACACGTAGTGTTTAATTATTTAAGTGTAGTGGAGTTTAGGCTTATGGTGGTTTAAGAACGTCAATTACGTCTTCGATAGCAAACCCTGCGAGAGCGTACTCATACGCCCCTGGCACAAAAGCTACACCTGCTTCGAGCCTCGAACACTCCGGGTACATCTATGCTAAAAGCCATCTACGAGTTCATCAAGGTTTATGTGCTCTTCAGGATAGTCCCTGGATATAATATGAGATTGCATACCCCAAGTAGGTATCCTAGGTATCCTAGGTATCCTCATACACAATCCCAATGGAAATGAATAAGGGGTATGTGCTGTCTTTGGTAGCTTAGGAGTTATCCGGTGAGTTGTAATTGTGAATTGTAATTGGCTCGAGACGAAATAAGTGCATGTGCTGGGTTTTGGGGTACATGAGCATTTAGTACCTATTTTTTATGTGTGGCTTGTGGTGGTAAGTAGTGGCTAGTGAGAAGTCTTAGGTCAGCACCTAGCCCTGGGCCCGGTATTCTTATGTGGCTTGGACTCCACAGCGCCAAACCCTACCCAAAAAATTAAACGAAAAGAATTTCACAAACTCAATACAACATTCAAAACCCGCCCTAATCTTCGCAACCCACCCTCGAGTAGGCAATTTCAACACATCACAACCAAGCCACTCATCCGACAAAATGCCTACCAGATTTTCGAGAACCAGGAAGCAGTACGTTATTACCGAATCCAATTCCTTATTCGTTGCTGCAATTATCGTCGCGCCGGTTCGCCTTTACCATGCCATGATTTTATGAATTTTGGATATTTCGATCGAGTAGTAGCGAAGAGGAGGAACAATAGGAAAACATAACCAAAAGCAATGCGAAGATGGAATGTAAGAAGATTGCACGAATACTACTGCGATAAATCCGTCATATCGATAATTAAGGGCATATTCTATGGCATCCGGCGCGACGAATTCAGCAGCAATTGAGTTTTATTTTTATTTTATTATTGTGCTAACTATTTGATAGCCGTGGCCACGTCTCGGCCGGTCACGGTCGTGTTGGTAAGCACCGCAAGCATCCCGGTGGTCGTGGTATGGCCGGTGGTCAGCACCACCACCGAACGAACCTCGACAGATACCATCCTGGTTACTTCGGTAAGGTTGGTATGCGATACTTCCACAAGCTCAAGAACCACTTCTGGAAGCCTATCATCAACCTCGACAAGGTACGTTGATTCAATATACATGTTGCCCTGTACAGATACAGTAAAATACCGAATACTGCAGGATATCACCTTCTGTCCGAGACAAGGATTTAAAGCTGTTATAATTCGTATTTTGATATATTTACTAACGTGGTGTTTTGTAGCTGTGGTCGCTCGTCCCTGCTGAGACCCGCGACGCTTACATCTCCGGTGAGAAGAAGGACACCGCTCCCGTTATCGACCTCCTTCCCCTAGGCTACTCCAAGGTCCTCGGCAAGGGCCGAATTCCCGAGATCCCTCTACTTGTCCGAGCAAGATGGGTTAGCAAGTTGGCGGAGAAGAAGATCACGGATGCTGGTGGTGTTGTTGAGCTGGTCGCGTAAGAATGCGCAGGCGGGATGGTTTCTATTTGCGGAACAAGGGAACGGATACCTGACGTTTGGGACGGTTGTAACTCATGGACCTGCACATATAGCGGGTAGTCTTCGGCTTTCTCGAGCATCGCATGGCATGATCGGATTCTACGAAAGGGAGTTCAGCTGAATACAAAAAATGCATTTTACCCAACTCTAAAGGCGACCTGGCGCCCGATTGCGATTTTCAGGAGCTAGACGGAGAGGCTTGCCGAGGATGCCTCGGTCCTGTAGAGTACTAGGCTAGGTATCTAAAGCCGTACTCTTCTCTTTAGTGGATAA